AAACTAGATTAAAAGGGAACAATTAAAAAGAAAACTATTAAACATTGAAGAGAAAATACAAAGGTCCATAGACCAGTGGTCCTAGTGAAGTCAACTGATGGTGGAGTGGAACAAGCAAAGTAATAGAAAAAAATTGTGATCACACTATGAAATATTTAAACTAGTGATTTTATAAGTGGATTATTTATGCATATTGATAAGGTCTAGCATGTGATCAGAGAAGTGAGTGGCTGTGGTAGGTTTTTAGAAAAGAGAATATAAGATTATTTAAGTGGACATGTAGGTTGCTCGGAATGATTAAAAAGTAGGATGGCAAAAAATTATAAGTTGGCTGTCAGTGTGTTCAGTGGAAGGAGAGGCCAAAGCTAGGGAAGCATTAATGAAAGAAAGCAGAGGTCTACTCCAGTTGCAGAGCCTTGAAGAAACAGATTGGTTTTAATGTTAATTTGTCAAGAAGAGTTTGAGGGATCGTGTGTGCCAGGCATAGAAACGCTGTGTAAATGCTACATTGCAAGGCTTCCGATGTCGAGGAGCTCACAGTACATAGAAAAAGACAACAACATAGCAGTTAGTGACACTCCATGAGAAAGGTATGTTAATGTCAGAACCTACGTAGTATAGCAAGGCCCCGTGGATTCCTAACTAAAGTAGTCCTTGAAACTTGCATAGGGAAGATCAAATGCAGTTTCCAAAGTGGAAGAGAGAAAGGAGGGATTATTATAAGATGTGTGACTCCCGACCATAATAGCCAAGATATAAATTCACTGAGATAGTTCCTGTCTTACTTTTTTTGTGGATTCTTTCTAGAGTCAATCTTGAGTCAATCTTGTTCTCCAGTGGGATGGTTTAAAGTGTGCGTGCACATACTCATAATGTGCCTTTGTCAGGTTTCTAAAATTATGCTTGAAAGCATTTATTGCTTAAAAAAAAAAAGAGTAGATACAGTTTAATAATAAAATTATTTTTCCACATTTACTATTGTTAGTTCATACAATCATTTAATTAGTTCCTGATACTATGCTTTAAGCCACAAGAATATAAAACTGATAAATAGGAATCTTATCTCATAGTTCAAAGGGATTTCTCCTAGAAAAATCATAATTTGTTGTTTTGATACCAACGGTACAAGTGTTAACATTAAATAATTACTGGAAATACTGTGGCCTTTAAGAAAAACCCTAGCCTGTCTGTCTTTTGTTCTCCAGTGCATATTGAGGCTTGATGTATTCCTGCACTGTTTATGGAAGAAGTAGTCTTTCTTCAAACTGAGCATAAATAAGCAAAAATTCGGTTAGCAGGTGGACTGAGTGTAACGTGAACAACCAGTGTCACATTTCTAAGCTAACTGGCTTCTCACTGCTGTCTTCTTCCACCAAGGTTGTGAAGATGAGAAAAGAAGTGAAGCGCATTCGAGTCTTGGTCATCCGGAAACTGGTCAGGACGGTTGCCAGGCTGAAGTCAAAAAAGTTAGTCATTTGAAGTGCTGTTCCTGCAACTAAGAAATGTCAAAAATTGTTTTTATTTAATATTTATAAATTTGAGGGTGTGGTCTGGAGGGATAATTATGAATGTCTCTCATTCAGCACAGCCATCAAGGTGGTCTGAGGAAGAGTGTGCTGTGTCAGCATGCCCTTGTATGTTTTGGATCATATTTGCTTAAGATACAGAACAATTTCCATCCTTAAAAATACTCTCTTTACTTAAATTATGTGGTTTATGTTACTAAATGTTATTGTAAGATTTTAATACAATCGTTAGTCTAGAATCAGTTGGGATTTTGTATCCGCTTTTTCTTGATTTATTTAGTATATTGAAATCTTAAGTGTCTTATGGAAGTACTTGTCAGTTTATTGTATCCTATCTAGTTTTTTTGAATAAAAGAGTATATTTTCAGCACCAGTAGTGTTGACACAAAGCTATGTTTCTTATGATTAAAACATGAGTATTTGGAACACTTTCACATATGGCCTGTTTGTGGTTTGCTGTTCATTCGTAGAAGTTCCAGAACCTGGCCCTCCTCTTTGACATAGTAAGATGCTTAACATTGTTATTTTTTTTCTTTAATTCCAGAGAACCATTTTTCACTTAATAAAAGGGTGTCCCGAGCTTTAACTGAAACTTATGAGGCTTATATTGCATTAATACAGGTTTTTATTGATCACAAGGCATTACTGATTTTACCACTAAAGAGCTAGAGAAAAATTCAGTAATGTGACACCGAGATAATGTGGTTTTTGCCAGTTTCAAATACTTGGGTTTCTTTATGAAATTGGATGAGTAATTGTAGTGGATTGAAAATGTCAGTAGTGGATGGAGTGTCTGTCACATAGGCTTTCTTTTTTAATATTTCATTTATTATTTTTATTTTATGGCTATGAGTATATTGCCTGCATGTATGTCAGTGTACCCATGTCATGCAGTGCCTGTGGAGGTCAGAAGAGGGTGTCGAATCTCCTGGAACTGGAGTTACGGACAGTTCTTACCTGCCATGTGGGTGCTGGGACTTGAATCCGGGTCCCCTGCAAGAGCAGCCAGTGCTCTTTACTGCTGAGCCTCCTCTCCAGGCTTTTTTATGTTTTGACATTTGAGGACAATTTTGTTAGTTTTTAAAAGGAAAAAAGCAGCAGAGTAGGTGAGCTGGAAATCTCAGCAGCTGCTCAGAGAAGGGAATTGGAGAAGAGGAAGAGAGAAAGCCATGCCTTTTGAGGTACACCTGTGTGTTCAGCAGTGGAGGTTCAGCAGGCAGCCACATGGTAGATAAGTGCCTGCATGGCAAGGAAAGGGGAGCTTCAGAGAAAGAGTGAGGGAGCTCAGAGTGTCAGGAAACCATGCCCAGCTTTGCCCACTGTCTGTCTTGGAGATAGGAAAAGAATATTATCTAATAAGGGGATAATTATTCCTCCCACCTTCCTGAGATTTGATCCCTTGGCTGCAGGGTTGACCAGATGATTAAAAATCCTAGCTGGAATTAACTTTTTAAAATTACGCTTCTTTAATTTGCATGTGTGTGGGGGCAGAGTACACATGCCACAACACACAGGTGAATGTCAGAGGACAACTTGTGGGATTGGTTCTCTTCTTCCACTGATTGGGTCCTGAGGATTGAATTCTGGTCGTTAGGTTTGGAGGCTAGTGCATTATACCACTGAACCATCTCCTCAGCTATGAATTAACTTTCTGTGCGTGCATGCGTGTGTACATACACACACATATAGTCACGTTATTGCAGTCAACTCACAAAGACTTTTCTTTAAAGTACTTCTCATCATGATGTGACTCTAAAACTAAGGTTTTCCTTGCTGATACTCTCTGTCATTCCAGGGGTACTGAAGATGCACTGTTGAAAAACCAAAGGCGAGCCCAGAGGCTGCTTGAAGAAATCCACGCCATGAAAGTAAGGACATGTATGAATGTTGAGTGGTTCTGTGTCTCCCAGCAGGCTTCATTTTATCTTGTGACTACTGCGAGTTGCTCAAGGCTTATTTGTATGGCTCAGTTGGGTGAAGAATGTAGCACGTTTACAAAATCTTAGTATGTATAGTTCGCATTATTTCCACATTTTTACTGAATTTATTAAAGTACTAGACTAATTTGAGTGAAAACTGCCAAACTAAACTCATTTTTGTTTTATAGTGCTGCATGTCTAGGGTTTTTATTTTTACTGTGACTTTAGGCATGTATTCTGAACTAAGTTCAAGAATTAATATGCCCATGTTATTTGGGAATGTGGATGGTAATATTGGTAGCTGACATCATGCTTTTTTGGTTGCCAACTCCATAAATTTTTATGTAGTGGTGTCAGCATTTTATTCAGTTCTGTAGAAACTTAAAATAAATTTAGTTTGGAGCAGCATGGTCCATATTTTTGTCTTCAACCAGACTCTTCACTAGCATAATTTTTAGGTCCTCTCACTACTCTTACTTTGTGGAGACTTTCATTTACCAAATGACATGCCATTAAATGTCTGGAAGACTGTTTTATTGCAGAGCCTAAAAACATTTGGTGCAGCAGTTATCTTAATTGCAGGGTAATTTTGCGTGTATGTTTGACTTTTATAATTTGGTATAACTTCCAAGTTTTGAGTTTGATAAAAGGACAGAAGAATTCTCTAACAATATTTTAATTGAGTTCAATCATTATAGCTTCCTATTCTTTCTTCCTTTTGAAGGGATGGTAGAGTGTTGAGCAGGCTATAGTATGCCAGTTAATCTAAATAAAATCAGGTATGGGGAATAATTGTTTTATATGAAATAAATTTATCTGTGTCTGTCACTTCCTCTCCAATGGGACTGCCAAATGCAAAAAGCTACTGATATGTCTCCTCTTTCTCAAAGTTCTTTTATCTAGGCATTCTTAAAAAAGAAAGTCTATATTTTATTCCTAAATATTGAGTCTCTCTAGTTTGCATATTATTGGACTTCTTCACATACCTGAAGTCATCATAGTCTGAGAAAAATATCTTTAGAGATTTTTACTTTGAGGATGCTACCAAGTTAGGAAATTGTCATTTTTCTTTTACTTTCTGTTATCAAGTATCTCACTAAATTACATACTGAAGTGGTTTTTTTCCCACTGTAGTTTCTTCTGAATAGTATTTTTATTCTAAATTATTCACACTTTGAGCCACTATATAATTTCTTGGTTTTATTGTAGAAAGAATGCAGTATATACAGTAAGCTTATATGCAATGCACGAGGAGTTTGAGAGCAAAGAACTCCATAATCTTTAGAATACTTCCATTTTGTAATTCTCAATAATATAATTTTATCAGTTAGAAAGTTTTATATGTGAAACTTGTTTTCTATTCTTCAGTCTCATCAGCAGAGGTAAGTCAGACCCCACACTAGTGAATACTTCCATTTTGTAATTCTCAATAATATAATTTTATCAGTTAGAAAGTTTTATATGTGAAATTTGTTTTCTATTCTTCAGTCTCATCAGCAGAGGTAAGTCAGACCCCACGCTAGTGGGGAGTCTAATTTTTGTGGCTCAAAGTGTG